GCAGTCAAGCAAGGGTTGGCAGTATTCTCACTGCAGCAGCAGAAACCCAAGAATCCCACATTCACCCTCAGACCACCCCATTAGGTACCAGTCAGCGAGCTGGGACTTCCTACCACCATGGTGGTGCCTAATTAACCTCGCTTGCCCTCCCCAAAGTTATACAGCTTTTGGCATCTCTCAGAGAGGAGACAGCTTGGCTAAATAGACAGAAGTGAGGAGACCACTCTGGGGAGAACTTACTGCAGCCTTTCAGTACTTAAAAGGGAACTAGAGGAAGAGGGAGAAAGACTTTTTAGCAGGGCCTGTTGTGACAGAATGAAAGGTGATGGTTTTAAACTAAGAGAGGGAGATTCAGGCTGGCTGTGAGGAGGAAATTGTTTACAGTGAAGGTGGCAAGACATTGGCCCAGGTTGTCCAGAGAGGTGGTGGATGCCCCACCCCTGGCGATATTCAAGGCCAGGCTGGATGTGGTTCTGGGAAACCTGATCTGGTTGAAGGTGCTCCTGCTTATTGCGGGGGGTTGGAACTAGGTGAGCTTTGAAGGTCCCCTCCAACCCAGACAGTTCTATGGTCCTGTCTTGAGCTGACAAGTAGGAAAAGCCAGGCACAGAGGAGCAGCCCTTACAGAAGAGAGCTTTCTCCTACACACTGCTCCCTTCCAGTGATCAGAAGGCAGCAGGTGACAGTGCTGTGTCCCTGGTTCTGCCACCACCAAGCAGGAGCAAGACGAAGAGGGCAGCTCCTAAAATTACGTTTGGCATGTGCAGAAGGAATGGGCTGGAAGCTCTGGATTTCTGCATGTACCTTCCTCTTCAGAAGCAGGTTAGATGCAGCTCCAGTGTATGTGGCTCCTTTTGCCAGCTGCCTCAGGGGGTTGTTCAATTACACTAAACTGATTTATTTTTTCATATCACTAGCCAATATTTAAAATGTTCAGGTACATATCCACTTAGCTCCCAGTTCTGGAATTACACACTATATACAGCATAGGGTAACCACAGACACATTTTGCCTGAAAGAAAAAAAATTGCTACAAATTTTTTTTAATGCTTCAGCAGCTTTTTAGCTTTCTCTTTCATAGCTGAAGCAGAGACATTTCCAGACTCCTGCTAGGAAAACAGTTCAATGTGAAAGTCACTGCCTGCCACCTCCAGCCACTGAGTGCTGGACCTGTGACCCTGCCACCTCAGGCACTTGTATCTGAGCCACATGACTGATACCGGGATTCTCTGCTGAGTGACTTCTGAACAATTTCAGCCTTTTTCTGTCTGGTTTATTCTAACATCTACAGCAGTTTCCATACCAGCCTGCAGTGGGATCACAGGCACTGCATTTCCAAGCAGTTCCTGAGGTCAGCATTGACCCACCAAGGAAGAAACTTTACGCTGCTTCTGTCTGGGATTTCTAAAGCCAGACTATGGAACAAGCTCTTCAAATGGAGAGATGAAAATACATCACTTCCCTGCCCTCCTTGCTTGATCAGATCCAAACACTTGTGTCAGCTTCTGGATTCCTGGCTTTAAATCTCCATTTCCCATTTAGTCCACCTGGGTGCAGTGAAAGGGAATCAGTGAGGAGATTGCTTCATTAATACATTTGCACTTTAGAGAACTGTTTAATCCAGAGGCTGTATGTTATGGCCTGACTCTCCTGCTGTTAATCTGATTATAAAGGTAAAGACTAAGCAGAGGCCTACAGGCCAAATAGAGGGTTTTGTGTAGCCAGGCAAGACTAAGCCTCTGCCCCTCTTCCTCCATGTACCCTCTTGCTCTCGGCTAGTGGGTGATCTAGCCCTTGGGCAGTGATGGCCCTGGAGATGAGGAACACACATGAATGCTGCTCCTCCTGTAGCCAGCTTCTGTCTCCTCACTGACTGCTTCTTTTTTGCCTGCCCTCTTGCAACATGTAAAGGATTTGTGACTTAGCACTTTTACATCTTTTCTGGAGCTCCAGACTGACCTTTTGGGTTATGCATGGTGGTAACGTGTCATATGCTCCTGATTCTCTGTGCTGAAGGATACAAAACGAGGACCTACGTGCTGCCCTCAGGCCATGAACCTTGAGCCAGGCACAACTGCAAGAAAACCTGTTCCCCTGAACCAAGGAGCACATATAAAGTGAAAACCTACACGCAGACTGTTTTGTTCTTAACTTGGGGACAGGTTCTTACCAGCAAAGAGGTCAGCAAGACCTGGAACATATGTTTTTTGTGATTTATTTTGACGTATTAGCTCATATTTCCTACACTGATCTCACTTTGACTGACAAAAGCTAAGTGGGTTAATCTGGACTCTTCTGGTCATTTGCTTTTATTAGACTGGAGGTATAATTATGGGCAGGAACAAAATGAGAACAGTGAGAGAGGATATAGTTATTTTACCTCAATAACAAAAGCACAAATAATCTCATTCACATTTATTAAGTAGAGGAGGGGCTTTTTTTTCTCTGAATCATGTCAAGGTGCCATTTGGAAGGGGTACAGGGGAAGATGCATCTCCCATGAAGTCAGGGTAGGGGAAGCTGTAATAGATAGGTGGTCATTGAGGAAATTCTGTCCTTTCCTGCTGCTGAACCAGGCTGAGCAGCTGCAGCCCTGGGTCCCCTTCCCTAGCTCTCTTCTCTTGGGGGCTTAAGTGATGAGTAGGGGAAAATCCCCCACTAAAAGATTTGCATTGGAAACCCATGGCTGAGGAATGACTTTTAAAACAGAAAAGCTTTGCTTGAAAAGGGATGAACCATGCAGCGTAATACTCAACAAATCGCCTGTGTAATGGCCTCTCTTTAGAGCAGCTGTGCATTAATAACAAAAGTGGGGGAGCAGAAGCCTTGTGCTTCTTTATAAGATTAAAATAAATACTTTTTCATACTAATACCAGCAACTTTCTGTGGAGGCTGACTAAGAGAAAGGAGCAAGTGGAAGACCACAGCCTACAAGATTTGGTTTCTTTCCCCTTTATCTACTGCTACATGAAGGAACACTACTCCCATCTATGAAAGGAGAAGATACTCTGAATTTGCCCTCCCAGACTGTTGTTTGGTTCATAATGTTTTGTTGCAGGCTTGTCAACACAATACCCTTGTAAGACAGGAGTAATTCCTCTAGGACTTTGCATCTTAGAGAAACTATGGTGGGGAGAACTTGATTTGATTTGCTTTATACTTTGCAAAGCGCAACTCAGGATCTCTGCTGCCAAAAGCATAAACTGAAACAAGAACGGTTCACACTAGACATAAGGAGAAACCTTTTCATCACGACGACAGCAAAGCAGTGGTCCAGGCTGCTAAAGAGGCTGTGCAGTTCCCAAAATCAGAGGATTTCCAACCTGATAGGATAAAGCCCTGAGCAACCTGGTTTGACTCAGAGCTGACCTTGCTTCAGCAGGCGTTTGGGCGAGACACATCTCAAGCTCCTTTCCATCCTGAGTTATCGTATGATCCTAAGAACACCTGGGACGCTGCCCACAGCAGTATCAATGGACACAACGTTTTGCATAGCTTAGGACTCCATCTCTTATTCCTGGCAGACCTGTTAACAGGTCTCCCCCTCCGTACCCTGTACTTTGCCAGCCCTGGCACTAAAGCAGTGCTGAGCTTCTCTGCTCAAACTAGGACTTCAGCTATTTAAGAAAAAAGAAATTTTACATTTTAAAGCTGTCTGCCACAGACGGTTTATCAGACATGGAGAATGATTTGTTTCTGTTTTCCTGGGCACAGGTTTTTAGCTGAGACAAGATACTTTGCCTTGCTGAGAGCTGAGTCACCGAGTAATCAACAGATTAATGTATTCTGTTTGAAAGCCATCACTATTAGTTCTCGGCAAGCTCACAAGAACTCCATTATGGTATCATCTCTACATCTGAGATGGAAACGTCTCCAGGATTTGGAGCTCCTGTGGGAAAAATCGCTGCACGCAAAGAAATCAAAATACCCCTTTGCAACTGAGAGGAATAACGTACCTCTTCATACAGTAACACCACAGCAGGATTTTGGTGTTCTTTCTAGTGAATGCTTTCATTATCAACCCTTAGATAACGAGTTTGGGGTATGTCATACATCTGTCATTTGACAGCTACCTAAAAATAGTCATGACTAACTCAGTGGCATACAGGACTTTGCCTTTACCAGGTCTTTAATCTGAAATTATTTTGTTTCCAGTGAAACCAAGTAGTTTTACTTTCTCTGGGATGGCAGCATGCAAAAAGGGTGGTCTTGACTTCTCTAGAGCCCTGACTTTCTCTGTGTGATCTTGGTCTGAGCCAGAAATGCGAAAAGGAAAGGCAGAGGCTGGCAGGGGCACCTCACAGAGGAGCCACTGTTTAAAAATAGGATGCTGGTTAAAGTAACAACAGAGTGGCAACTGTAAAAGGACAGACTCGCCTAGGTGTGTGGCATGAGAAGGCTGCCAGACATCACAGTTATTCTGATAAGATACATGCTAATGCTGCTGCCTGCCATCCACACAAACCTCACTGAAGTAATACATCCCCTTGTTTGCAAGTGAAATTGCTGTTGAGGGTATGTAAGAGCCAGTCCAGCCCTCACAGAAGTCAAGTTAATCCTGAAAGCTTCCCTGCATGGGCAGGCTGGTGGAGGGAATTTGAACAGCAGCAAGACTTCTCCTGAGACACCTCTCCTTGCAGCCTGTGCATCTAGCACATTCTTCCTGTTTCCCCACATCTGTCAGTATCCCTTTCTAGGCTGTCCCTAAGTAACGGAATTGTTTTGTACTGGCATGGCTAGTGCGAGAGAACGAGAGATTGTGGCTGTTGTGACACAGAGGTCCCCAGGGCTACGCTTCCTGGGATAAGCATACAAATGGCATGTCATATATAATTGTTCCTGTGCCTCAGTTGGTTGCAATAGGCATACAACAATGATGTAGATATTCCCCCCTCTCTCCTCTTCTCTCCAGGTATTCAGATTGTGCAAACACCTGTTTGTGCTCTGAAGCCTCCAGGTGCTCAGCTCTCTGTACCCAAGCAGAGGTGATTTTAACTTACCCGTCGCTCCTTATCCCCGTATTCGATGCCCAAGGTATCCATGGCACGTACAATCGCTGCCAGTGACTGTATAGTGTTGCTGTAGACCACTGGCTTGTACTGCTTCACATCTTCTCCCGAAAAGCCATCCTCATGGATGATCCTGAAGAAAATGCAAAGGACAAAAACCTCTTGAGAATGTAATTTCAATAGGGGAGGCATTTCAAAGAGAGCTGTGCTCTTTTAAAGAGCACATCTGCCAGCTCGATTCACTTAATTTAGTCAGCATTTCTTTTTAAACCTTTCTGGTTGTTCACCAGTTGTGTGTCTGAGCCCAGTGCATAGAATTAACACCCCTTTTGCTCTCTCTCAAGGAGGTTTTGTGCAGGGTCGGTACATATGGTACCTCCCTCGCAGGCAAACTGCAAATGCCAGATCCCAGAGAGCCTCATGTTCACATGGAGTGGGGTTGCCCGAGTAATTGAAAGGCACCTGGTGTGCCTTACAAAAGGAACTACAGTTAAAATACCCTTGAAAGCATGGGATACAAAGGCATGGATATGAGAAGTTACTTAGCTGTGTAGCACTTAAAAGGTATTTACAACCCTTCACGTCTCCTACCTCCTTCCCTTTCCTTTAAGAACTGTGCTGAGAGTTTTGCTGCCTCAAAGCATGTTATGTTATCCCCTCTCTAAGTGAGGTGGGAATGAGATCCACATCCTGGTGAGAATGAGACCACATCCTATCAGCTCCTCACACTGGAGCGATAGCTCTGTTAGTCTCTATTAAACTCTGCAAATGGAATGATGGAGTGAGTTCCTGCAATCCTTTGCTCAGGTCACAAGACTGACCCTATAATTTCCTCAACTCTAAGTAACACAAAAACTAAGCAGAACTAAGCCTGGTGTGTCTAGAAGACAGCTTAGATTTGCAGAGCTAATTGTGCTTGACAATAATTCTTCTCAGTAAAGACATAAGTTATGATCCTGTCTCTTAAATATCAGCAGAAAGGATGATCTGCTTCACCAAAATGAAGTCCTTGCTTGCTCATCCTCAGATCTCACTGGACAAGAGAGAGTCCTTCAGTAACAGATCTGGTCACCGGTAAAACCTCTCATCCTGTCTATAACATGGAGTTCTGCTTCCTTTTTTTCTAAATCAGATGCACATGAAACAAGATCCTGACCAGTGCCTGCACTCCCCTGGGGAGAGCCAGCACTAGCAGGAATCACAGTGAGCTTGTAATAGATACAGTGCTGGGATGCTGCTGAAGAATGGGGCTGGATGCCAGTCCTGTGTTGTTAGCAGATGACTACATGAAGAACATAGCTGATAGAAACATGCTGACAAAGACACAGATTTACTTGCCCTGTCGCACAGCTCACGAAAGGTTTTCTAACACAAGTGGCCAACTGTCTGCTCCTCCCACAACAACCTTTGCTCACACATCATCGAACACTGAGCTCCCTGGAGGAGCTGCTCCAACACCCTCCGAGTCCTGGAAATATATATGACTACAAATAAAGACAGCTCACGACAGGCTGTAGTTCAAATTAACTGGTGTCCAGGAAAATTTTAAGCTACTAATCCTAGGAGCTCAGCAGAGCCCCCTGCTCAGGTACCCAGCTCCAGGAAGGAGGAATGGTGCTGTGAACAGCACAAAGGGCTGCTGCTTTGTCTCAACTAGGCTGAGAGGAGCAGGGCTGGGGAAAAATCTTTCTGACTTAGTAGAAGACTTGCCAATTTGTCAAAATTTCTTCTATAGCTAGTTTTGATTTTGATTAGGAGTTAAGGGCAATAGCAGACCTTGTATTCTGTAGCTTTTAGCCAGTGCTTGTGCCGAGGTTTGGAATAGCAGCATTTGAGTACAGGGGAAGAAGGGGGGCCAGCAGAACTGTGTGTCAGCACTGGGTCTCATGGATCATTTACTGTTACTCAGACAAGCTGCAGAATTTCTGGGAAATGTGTTCTTTGTCAGAAGCCTTAGTCAAACCTGGAGAGTTATGTCTGGCACAAAGCAAAAGGATCTGCATTAGTCCTGTTCACATTCAAGGGAGACTGTACAGTCCTGGCTCCTCCCAGCTCTGACATGACAGCAATGAGCTCGGCAGAGTGGGGGTCCTGTGGGAGGTAGGCAGGCGGTTAGCAAAAGCACCGACAGAAATAATTCATTCTTTCTGGTTGGTTGGCTCAGGGTTAGGATTTGGGGCAGGGGGAACTGCATGTTGCTCCTGAGTCAACTAAGAGAAGGAAACATGAGAGGGGCAAGAATCACTGAACCACAGCCTGGTTTGGGTTGGAAGGGACCTTAAAGCTCATCCAGTTTCAAACCCCTGCCATGGGCAGGGACACCTTCCACTACAGCAGGTTGCTCCAAGCCCCGTCCAAGCTGGCCTTGAACACTGCCAGGAGTGGGGCAGCCACAGATTCTGTGGGCAACCTGTGCCAGTGAAGAAAGGGGAGAGAAAGAGGATGCAGCTGAGATCTGCTTGGTCTGGTTGTTGATGATGCTGGTGGAGATCGGAGTGGTGCCGCACCTCAAGCTGGCGGCTTTGTTTCTGCCTCTCACTGACAGGCGTCAACTAGGGTCTTGATATGGCAAAAAGAGGGCTGAACGGTCGTATTCAGAATCTAAATAACATCTGGCCTTGTGCCATAAAGTTATTGCCTGACATTTTCACTTCTAAACATACAGTGTTTCTAAATACTTCCAGCCAGCAAGCTCCCTATCAAGTAACAGGGCTCCTTGTGCTGAAGGGGCAGAATTAAGTGATGCAGAGTGGCTCACTGATCCCTCAGTGGCCATATTGCTGACTGGGCAGTATGCTGTCATCCTTCCAAGCACAACCATAAAGGCATTACTTTTCAAGGGGGCAAAAAAGAGCGTGGAGAAAAACCACCCCAACTGTTCTTCCGTGAAATCTCTCTGGGAAGGCAGCCACAGCGACTGGAAGCAGCACTGCAGATGCCAGGATTGAAGTTTTGCTGTAGGAAGTACCTACGGATTAATCAATCATGCAATTAGCACATTACTTAATATGTGAGCGAGCAAATCCCCACTGACTAGTGCTGTTTCAAAGCCTGCTAGGACACTGTGAACTGGTTTATTGTCCTATATGCTCCTCTTGCTTGCCTTGGCAAGCTGACAGCTGAGCTTCCATGGCAGCTTCTTCCATAGTCCTTTGGAAATGTTCATGCTGCTGCTCACCCGTTTGGGACACGCCTTCTTGTCTGCTGTTGTCTTTACTGCCTTGAGGGCATTTAATGCTCCAACAGCACTCCTGGGAGGTATACTGTTATGGGTCATGGCGGGAGCCAGCCTGTGTGCCTCAGGAGACAAGAAGCAATGGGGTTTGGATACTGTAGGGAGCTGTAGCCATTAAAAATGCACAGGGTGTAGGAACTAATAGACGTGAACAGTGCACCAAGACTGGGAAGTCTTTAAAAGATTCAGGCAGGGTGGGCTGGCTACTCCTTAAGCAACCTGCATATTATTGGGAACACAGGTTTTTCACCACTAAAAATGTGAATCTTCTGTTTCTAAATGGCTTGTATTTTTGCCTGTCTCTGAAATACAAAGGGAACTGCTGCAGGCAGGTTCCTCATTGCCACACTTGAGTTGGTTCTCTCCAGGGCAAAGGAAGAAAAGAGATTTAAGAGGATCAAGGGGGCTGTGGAGGGGGGAGACAATGCTGTAATTTTAAAAAGTGATTCTGAGCAATTAAAAAGCCATTTCATTCACCAAGTGCCTAATGAAACACCCTGCTTTGAGTGGAACGGTGAGAGACAACTGAAGCAACCTGATTGTCTAATGCACCCATGAATGACTGCTCCCTGTCCCTCAGCTGCTAACAGCATACCTATGTGTTTGCACGTTATGTTGTCATACTTGTTCTAGAATGGCATTAACGGACAGGCATTTGCTGGGGAAAATGCAGACCAGATCTTCTGCCATCCTCCAGCAAGTCATTAATACTGAAGAAGTGCCCAGTGTGCCTCAGCAATTATTGCTTAATTACAAAATAAATGAAATACATGGGAACAGGGGGCGCATTCTGCGTAGCAGCTTGCTTTGGCTTCCGTTCAACACAGCACTTACATTCCTTCAGCCTCTCACTACAAAACGAACATATTCAAAAGGCAAAGCCAAAGATAACGTTGCCGTATGTCCCTGCTGACAGCACTTCCCCCGTGGTGGTGGAACGGCAGCTCTGAACAAAGCACACGACAGTCCCAGCACGGTGTGGCTGGATTTCAGCTTGGGGCCGATCCAAGCAAGCAGTCACTGCCTAGGTCACTCCTGGTGGAAATACTTGTCCATCAATCCTGAAAACCTCCTGCAGCAGAGTCTACAGTTTCCTTCGTCCCTGCTACAATCCCAGAGAAGCTATTCTGGTGCTTTCCCTGCAGCCCTTCCAACCCAAGCCAGGTTTAGTAAATGCAATGACTCTTCTGTACACCTCTTAAATGGGTCCTCCTCCTTCTTGAGGCACAGTACCTCAGACTAGATCCAGTCCTCACTCCTCTAACCTGACAAGACCATTTTAAGCCGTAAAGCTCATCCTCTGATGTGCTGAAGCACTTCTCCCAGCTCCACAACACTGACAGATGCAATTCTGTCTTTCATGCATTTTTAACTGATGAAAATTCTGAAGGAAATCAACTCAGACCCCTGCACAGTCCTGGCTCTTGGAGTCCTCTGCTGTCGCCACAAGTCCTTGGTAACTGTATTCTTTGGGAATGAGTTGGCTACTCATGCATTTTTGCGTAAGATCTGAAGCAGTTTTATCTAGACTGTTTTTCCAGGTCACTTTATGAAAGTCAAGTGGGACCAAGCCAAACCCTTCCCAAAACTGAGCCATGGCACCTTCTATTCCTCTCCTACATCTGCTGAGAATCCAAATGAAATCAGTTTAACATGCCTCATTTTTGTATAATCCATGCTGCATGTCACTCATCTCCCTTTTTATCTCCTAGGTGCTTGCAGATTGCTTGATTGATAGCTCAATTCTCTTCAAGCTTCTAGAAGTTGACTGGTCTATAATTCTTACTGATCTTTTCTCCCTCTATATTTAGACACCATGATGTTTACATTTTTTCTTTGTCTTCTGGTACCTCACCTGCCCTCCAAGAGCTCTCAAGAAGTGTTTGCATTTTGGAGAT